TGCTTTGATAGAAGATCTCTTTTCGCAGTGAGAACATTCAAAGGGTTTTTTGGTGACATTTCAAATGCGTCTTTTGCACGCTCGCGTCAACTGCACCATCAACCAAAATGGCGATAAAGGTGAAATATTTCAAGAGTGAATCCGATATTTTATGATCATTCTCTCCTGATTTTCCACAGGAAATTGCCAACAAATTAAAAGCAACCTTTGATTCTGGTTGAGTTTTATTCAACTAACAATTGATCACTCCTGCTACTTACAAGGTATTTTTTTCTATTACTTATTTCGTTATTTGAATTGCTATTTTATTGCTTTGACAAGAGTAGAATCATTATTGGTCCTATAGCTATAAAATGGACGAAGCTTTTGATCATCTCCCTGACCAAAAATATTTCTCACTCCTTATTTTAAGTACTACAATTTTAGAATTAAATATCTCTGAGTGTCTCAGCGTTTCTCAGGTATACCTTGCAATAATGAAAATTAATCCGAAATTGTATATTTCGCTTGTGCATACACTACAAAAACCTGATTTTCAAATGAAAATAATCAGGAATAATTTCCGGAAAAAAACTATGAAGTTCTAGTGATTTCTAACTGAAAAACTACAATTATAATCATTGTTGACATTGAACAACAATATCTATAAAACTCAACCTTTATAACTTGTATGCTATCCTCTTCAATTTCTAGATCATATTTTATACTTTTTTGGTTGTTTTTATACTGCTGATATCTATTATCATCCTAGCCTGCTATCCCTACAAGTCTCTATGAGCTTAGTAATCTGTAGGGATAGCGTCATTGTTTCTTTGATTATACTGCAATTTCAGTAAACGTTATATTCTGAAGATAGTGTATTGCAAGACCGAATGCATTGTTGGATGTTCTATTGACGTTGTAGAGGAGTTTCATGACTACAACAGCTCCTATAGTCAGGAACTAATGCAAAGCAATAATATTTAGAATTGTCATTTTGTAACGCAGTTTACATTTAACAGCAACAATGCACTGCGGTCTTAGTTCGAGTGCAGTATTTAGTTTTCAACGTTTTCAAATTATGTATTGATATATGTCGATTCTGATCAACGCGGTCAATTCCTGTTTAACAGTTGTCTTCTTCGGTAGCACACCGTGAAAAGCATTCTGCAACTATCAAAATCTTGTTAAGTTTCTATCATTCAAATTATGCATGTTCACGTTCCGTTTGCATGGCTCATGGTGTTTATAACGTAACTCTTTTTGCATCCTTCGATTATTTCGTTAACAGTTTTATCATGTTCTTGAATATCAACATCGTTACTCTCAGTCTATTGTATTGCTTGACAAACACGTCACTAGTTATATTTTAGACTTGTTGCTCTTCTTCGTCATTGGAATATCAACAGTATCACAGCGATGCGTTTTGCATTATACTCTAGCTGTGTGTCAGGTTCCCAGAACTTGCAATAATATCCTGGGCTGTTGTTAGTAGCGTTGTCTGGTATCAGTGAAGAGTTATCCATCTTGGTGCAGCTCTTGCGTCTGGCTCTATCAGCGAAGCAGCAAAACTGTTTCTATTAAATTGCACTAACTTATTTTCACCAAAACGTCGTGGTGGAGCTTAAAAAACAAGCCGCTTGATAAATGCCAAATAATGCAACCGTCTTGTTTTCAAGCCAGTAGCCGAATTCTGTAAATTATCTATTGGTTGAAGTCTTTTAAAATAATTCAATCTTTGTAAGTTTTGACTGAGCAATATTTTATTCTGAGACAAGATCAGAAATTACATTTG